TGCGTCTGTCCCCCGCCGGCCTGGCCGCACGGTGCCCGGTCATCCTCCTGGGTCGCCGCCGGTGCCCCGGGCTCAGGATGGCTTCACGGAGCCCCGTGGGTCTTTGAGTGAGGAAGCGGGTTCCAGAGGGGCACACCTGGAGGGGTCACCTCCCCGCATCTGTCTGGTGCCAAAGTGGAACGGGAGAAGTGAGGTCCTTCTCCCTGCACCCAGGGTACCCCCAGGCCCTCGGGGGCCCGCTTTCAGACCGTTAGGGGGTGGGGAGGAGCTGCCGGTGAAGGGGCGGGCCCAGCCTGGTGGTGTGTGCAGGTAGAACAAAGGCCCGCTGTGACCCGTCTGGGGCGGAGAGAAGGCAGTGTCTCCAGTCCTCCCGCCAGGAGAGGAACAAAGGTACCGGATGGGGACCGGTCCTCGGATCAGCCGGTCGGGTACCTGTGCACCTGGACACCTACCTTCCTTCTGGGTGCGCTGGCTCCCCGTGCTTGTGGGGGTGGGGACACGGTTGGCCTGTGTGGGGGCAGAGTGCTGGGGCTGCCCTCCCGAGAAGCAGTAGATCCCGGGGGCGTTGCTAGACTTCCGCGTTTCCACTTGGTATTGTTTTCCTCCTGTTCCTGTTGTACCCACGTGGCCTGCAGGGACACTCCCTTAGGCACCTTATTCCCCAGGTATCCAGGCCCGGAAGGAGAGAAGCCAGGAGCCAGCACTTCTTTGTTGTGCCCCCACCTTCCCCTGAGGACTAGGCTGGGTGGTGGGCGTGGGCAAGTGTGCCACTGACCCAGAGAGGTGTGGGCATTTAGGTGGGTGTGGGGTCCTCTCCCATCAGCTGGGCTGGAGCTGAGTAGTCCAGCCCCTGCACCCCTGAGTAGCCCCTCATCCTTTTTCCCTGGTCTTCAGACTCAGAGATTGAGATCTTCCAGGCGTGGTGCACGCACCTGTAACCCCAGCTCCTCCTCGTGGGCTGAGGTAGGAAGACTGGCAAGTTGAAGGGCAGCACAGTAAGGCCTTGTATCAAAATAAAAATACAAAGGGCTGGGACATAACTCAGCTGTCCTTGGCTTCAGTCCCTGGGACTGCTGCACACAGTGAAAAGGAAAGACAGCTGGAGTTGGGGACACTCGTCTTCCTCCAGCTGTGTCCTGTCCCCAGCAGTCGCCAGCCTAGGAGGTGGTCTGGGGCCCTCCCTTGGTGGTTTCAGACCCTCACACACGGGCACTGGGTCTGCTGTGCAGGGAGGCACTTTGCTGTATGGGGTCCACCCCTCGGTTCAGCTGAGCCATGCTGCATGGAGCTGGGCACTCACGGGCCCAGGAGGGCACCTCCCTGCTGCTGGAGGCGGGAGTGGGAAGAGAGGCCGGATCTTTGAAGTAAGCTTGGCCCTGGCGAAGGTGTGGGTTTCCAGGGGAGGGGTTCCACCTCCCTTCTCCAGAGTTCGTCCCTAGCACCCCTTCCCCAGGAGAGCGGAGACATCCCTGAGAGCCTTGTGGGCCTCACTCTGCTGCTCACTTTGCTGACCCCTGGAAATCGCTGGCTCAGCAGCACGTGGGCATGGAAGAGGGGCTTCCAGGGGGCCCTCAGTCTTGCCAGGTGACCTGCCTCAGTGCCCTCTCCTCCCTTTGGCTCTTTGATTTCTGTAGTCAACCAGCTTAGAAGACACTGTGGGCATTGGCTTTGTGCATTTTCATCTGGGCTGTACCCAGCTCCCCTGAGACCTCCGGGGGCTGCTCCTGCTGTGGAGGTCAGGCTGCACTTGGTCTGTCTGTCCTGGGCCCAGGGACCCTTGGGACACTACAGCTTTCAGTCCGGGGGTCATACCTACAATGGCAGGGTGACTGGTGCTGAGTGACATCAGAGCCTCAGATGCCTGCTGTCCTGTCTGTCCTGCTCCCCCAGGGTCCTGTGTGTGTGGGAGTGACCCCTGGGGCTGGGACCTTCTCTGTCTCTTCCCTGCATCCCCAGGGCATTGGAAGGCTTGGACATTTGTGTTCCTGCCCCAGGGCACGCTTCTGGAAGCTTGCCAGTAAGCCCCTAGCCTCCTTGTGGTAGGTATGACATCCACCCAGGCTGCTCTGAGCTGGGCACACACTCGTGCAGGTGGCACACGGAGAGGAACAGATTTCTGGTGCCTTCCTCCGCATGGTTTGGATCTTCCAGCCGTGGTTGGCACTTTCTGCCTTGGCAGAGGAGGAGGCCTGTGAACAGAGCGTGTGGTGCACTGTGGTCCTGTCTGCCACAGGGCTGCCTCGCCTTTTGGCCTCAGCCAGGACACAGGGAGTGGCGGGAGGTGATGGTCACCAGTGGTTACTGTAGTTAGAGTCTATTAGCAGCCCACACTCCTGTGTCATCTCCGAGGGTCTGGACGGTGCTCCCTGAAGATGACACCAGGAAAAGAGGGGCAGAGTCTTGTCAGGTCGACCCGGAAATATCCCTGAAGGTGTCATCTGGAACCACAGAGGGCATTGGGAGCCCCCACGTGGCCTGTCTGCCGTCTTGGCTGGGGTCCTGAGCACCTTTGGGAGTCCCTGGCGGGCTCTGAGCGTCTGTGGCGTTCCCTCGCGAGGACCGTGCTCCCCTGTGGAAGGGGTGGACCAGCAGTCTGTCACTGATGGTGTGTCCCCTCGGGGCCGGGCCTCGCCCTTGACTCTGCACCCTCTCCTGCAGGAAGTCATCTCGGGCTCCAGACACCTGCCTGTGTGAGCCTGGGCTGCCCTGTGTGCTGTGCTACCCGTCCACACATGCGTTCTGCTCGCTACTCCTTCAGGATCAGCCCAGATGACCGCTCCTCCCAGAAGCCTCTCCGGGCTTCTGATTCCCAGACCTTCCTGTTGCCTTAGGCTCCTTTGACTTAGCTCCCGTCCAGCACCCTGGCTTTTCTGTAGTGCCTTGGCACTGGCTGTGGCCTCCTGCCCAGTAGTGCTGCCCCCACGTTGGCACCAAGCAGAACAGATTCAGCCTGGTCCGGCAGCCTCTGTCCTGCCGTTCTCGTACCTCTGTCCGGTTCATGTGGAACCTGAGTGTTTTGCCACTCCACAAGGACCTGGGGACTCCCGAGGGGGCCAGGACAGTGGGCACAGACTTGGCCCGGGCTGTTCCTGTGGCACCTGGCAGCTTTCACCTGCCTTTGAGTTTGAGGGACACAGTCGACATCCCCACGGTGGGGAACAGATGTTGTCCAGAGTGTCACGGGCCGGTGGACAGGACCCGGACCCCGCTGACAGCATCACCTCACCCACGTGGTCTGGCAGCTTTTGCTCAAGAGGAGAAGAGAATCTGAGGCCAAGCTGTCGTGAGCTAGATTTTCAGTAAGAAACTAAAAGTAACGAGAGCCCCTTCTTTGTAAGGGATCACGTGTGGTTTGCAGTGAGAATCCCCTCCGGTGTTCCCAGGCCCAGGTCCACCTCTGTTGTGTGCTGAGCTCAGCCGGGCACCTCCTGTGCGCAGCTGGGCCGCGTCTTTGTGGGCCCCTGCGGTAGCCTGAGGCTGTGCCTGCACCTGCAGAAAGCCCTCTCATGGGTGCCAAAGTCAGCCGGGCCCACGGAGGCCGTCAGCACAGGTTCAGTTGGTGTCTTTCTCTGGGGATTCCGAGAGCCGTACTGGGAGAGGCCTTGTGGGTCTGGATTCCTTTGGGGTCCTGGAGGGAGGGCGGAGGAGGGCTTGTGTTCTCCTTGGTCAGGGCCCGTGAGTCTCTTTCTTGCACATGCCCTCTTTTTTGTTGTAATCTTAGTTTGTAGTGGCTGAGTGGGAGGAAAGATGGAGAAAAGAGAAACCGCAGTAGTCCCTGCACAGAGTTTTTCCTCTGTAATTGAAACTAGTGTAAATTACATCATGAGTGCTGCCCTGTGTCATTAAAAACATACTCTGTTTCAGTGCTGCAGATGGTCCCCGTGCTGGGTGCCCCAGGCTGGCTCTTGGGCTTGGAACACGTGGGTTTCCAGTTTCTGGCTCCTTTAAGGAATGCTGCTGTGGACGTCCTCTTGTGCAAATATTTTGCATAGCTCTGATTTCCTTTGGAAATTCCTGGGAGTGGAATTTCTGCATTGAAGAGCCTGAGCGTGTCAGAGCTCTTTTCAGGAAGTCGCACCTCCTGCTTCTTGCTTGCAGTGTTGAAGTGCCCTCTCAGGGCTGCACCCCTTCTTGCTGCTATTGTAAGAGAGTGCACTTTTATTTTGTACCAGGGAGCGAACTTGGGCCCTTGTGCTTTCGACGCAGGCGGCGGAACAACTGAGCCAAATCCCTGGCCCAAGAGTATACTTTTCTAAATCATCAAAAAGTGCCTAGTCTTCCAGATTTTATTGCAGAGTCCTCCCTCACCGCTGGGCTGGCCCACACTGTAAGAGACTTGGGGAGTGTCTTAGTTACTTTCTCTCTCTCAGATGCAATAGGCAGTGCCCTCAACTCAAAGGAGGAACGGTTTATTTGGCTCTCGGTTTGTACAGGTTTCAGTGCATAGTTGGCTGGCTCCAACAAAGGGCAGCATGGCACAGGGGCAGGGCAGGAGGGAGCTGCTCACGGCAGGACGGGGAAGCAGAGAGAGGAATCAAGGGAGGAGGGAGGGAGGCCCTGCCTGTACACGCACCAGTGACTACCTTCTGCGCCGGGCTTCACCTCCCCGCGTCACCTTTAGCTGTAGTCCCTCTCCCTCCCTCTTCCTCTCTCTCTTCCTCTCTCTCTCCCTCTCTCTCTCTCTCTCTCTCTCTCTCTCTCTCTCTCTCTCTCACACACACACACGCACCATGGTCTAATCACATCCCTAAAGCCCCACGTATGAGCCCATGAGGCTGTACGGGGACATCTGGATCGAAATCATAGCAGAGCGTCCAGGCCCTAACCCCTGCCAGATTCGCCCTGCCTGCTCATAGAGGTCTGCATCTTACCCTTGGTGGTGCAGCTGCCATGGTCTGGGCTTGAAGGGAGAGGGGAACAAACAGGGAAGCTGGTGGAGCAGCTTCTGTCCCCTGGCTCTTCACAGGAACTTACAATAGGTTTATCTCATTTGATTCTGGCTGTACCTTGGGTGTCATTCTTAGTGTGTCTCCCAGGGGTGCGTGTGTCGGGAACTCGGTCCCCAGTGTTGTAGGATTGAAGTGGTGGAGGGAGCCTAGTGGGAGGTAACCAGGTCCCGAAGATTCCTGCCCAGGAAGGGGAACACAGAGAGGTGCCCTTAAGAGAGAGCTGTGTGCAAGAACAAACCTGGCCCTCCTGGGCACCCGTCCTTATGGGCTTGCCCCGCAGTCTCTCTTTTATGAATACTCCCGCCCTCGCTAGATCCCAGTCAAAGCCAGCACCACCTCCTTGAACCTCCCAGAACCATGAGCTGAATAAGCCACTCTTCTTTATAAAGTATCCAGCCTTGGGATTTCCAGTACAGCTGTAGAAAACAAGCTAAAACAGCACATAGAACTCCCACAGAGCAGACATTATGAAGATTGGTCCACTTTTTGGAAAAAGGAAGTTAAGGCCTGAGATGTGATCAGAGTACCTGAGCCTGGAGGGCCAGGAGCCAGCAGGTGGATGTCTGTCCTGAGCTCTCTGATGCACCCCGCCACCGCTGGTGAGAAGATCCAGGGAGAATGACAGCCGCGCCCTCCCATGCAGACCTGCACTGTCAGGGTTACTGGAAAACACCTAGCGTGAGGGCTGGGGATTTAGCTCAGTGGTTCCACTGCCTGCCTCGCAAGTACAAGGACCCGAGTTCAATCTCCGGTACCAAAAACAAACAAAAACACCTAGTGTATTCCCTCAGTATATTCTCCTGGCTTTGAGAAGGGAGCTCCAAGAGGCTTGCTGACAGTCAGCGCAGATGTCCAGGCCACCCTGGGCAGCTTTTCACACAGCGTACTCAGGTGGTCCAGCAACCCAGGAAGACCTGGCGACAGTGCTGGGAGAGTGTGGCCCCTGCCCCTGTGCTGAGTCCATGCGCTACCCCCATGGCTGAGGAGGGGAGCTGGGCCCTGCCCTTCCTAGCTGGTGCCTTGGTGCCCTAGCCTGGAGCCCTATGGGAAGGGTGCGGGTGCCAGCGTCCTGGGATCCTGCTGTGGGCTTGCTCCTCTCCTGGTGTGGGTGTGTTGGGGTTTGAAGAGAAGCGCGGTACTGTTGGGGCACTTGCTGAGTGGGAACCTGTGGGTTGGTAATGAGGCTCCAGTTCAGGCCAAGTGGTCTCCCAGTCACTTGCATACACATCAAGACTCTTCTAGGCCCCCACCAGTACCCGTCTAGGTGACATGTGTTTGCAATTTTTTTTTTGTTTTGTGTTTTTTGAGACAGGGTCTCACTATGTAGTTGAGACTGATCTGGAACTCACTGTGTAGCCCATGCTCATCTCAAACTCACGGCCATCCTCCTGCCTCAGCCTCCCAAGTGCTGGGATTACAGGCGTGTGCCGCCACACCTGGAAAACTTTTTTTTAAAATGTATTTAAGGCCATCTTTCTTGCTTTTTCAGGATCTCAGTTGGCCTTCTCTTCCCTGTACGGTTTGGGTTTGGGTTTGGGACTCTTGCATGATACCACTGCACTAGCGGCTTGTTTTTGTTTTGGAAGGGAGGGTGCTGTGCTGAACCAGGAAAGAAGTCCTAAACTCTGGAGCATGAGCTACTGCAGGAAGGGTGTACAGCTTCTGAGGAGGTGGGGACGCTGCTTCACACTGGGGTTTTGCAGCTCACGTAGGAGTATTGGCCCGAGTGGCACTCTAGAAGCACATCCGGTGAGACCTGAAGCTTGGTGGAGTAAATGGGTAGGAGAAATCCTGGCGGGGGTACCCAGGAGTGGGGGCGGCCTTGGTATTGCATCAGCCCTGTGCAGGCAGGTCACTGGCTGTGCGACTTGTGGCTCTGCCCCTATCTGGGGTAAAATGCCCCCTCCCCTGGTAGGGTGTTTGTCTCCAGTCCCCAGAGGGGCTGTCGCTGGAGAGAGGTGGCTGTGCATTCCCACTCCAAGAGCTGGCGGGCAGGTCTCTGAGCTCGAGCTGGGTGGGTGGAGGGCGGAGCTGCTACAGCTGACGCGTGTCCTCACGCAGTACGTCCTCACGCAGTACGTCCTCACGCAGTACGTCCTCACGCAGTACGTCCTCACGCAGTACGTCCTCACGCAGCCTCGGTATGAGGCTGGGGGCCGCAGGACCCGGCCTGGAAGCCCTTGTCCCACTGCCACAGCTGTACCTGCTGGGGCCCCTCCCAGGCCTGGCACCCACCTGGCCCTGTGGCCCTGGGCCAGCGCAGGAGCCAGCCGCTTCTCCCTTGTGCCTAGGGCAGTGTGGCTCCTAGGCTCAGGTGGGTGTGCTGCTGTCTATTTCCCCATTTTGAAAGTGGAGACGCCTGCCCACCATTTGTTTCTGTGGCGGCTCCGGGGACCTGTTACTTCCTGTGACCTTGTGGTCTCACGGGAGCCATGAGCAGCCTCCAGGCCGGTGCCCGTTGCTCTGGAGAGCGGGCTGTCTGCAAGTGTGAGTGGGGAGGCGGCCGCACGTCCGAGCTGGCTGGCACGCGGCCTTCACGGAGAGGCAGGCAGGCCCCGCGGTCCTGCGTCTGGCCCGTCTCTGAGCGCCGTGCAGGCAGTGCAGCTGCCTCGTTTATTTCCATGGGGAGTGTGAGAAGGCCCGGCAGGGCGACATCGGGACAGATCAGTAATTGTCTGTTGGGGCAGTAATGAGAGAGATTAAAATGCAGCGGGTAATTGATTACCGAGCTGTAGAGCCCTCGGGGGTCAGTGGCCAGGGTCACACACCGCTGGTCACAAGGGGAGCTGGCCCCGTCATCTCCCCATGCCAGGCCTCCTTGCCGTCCAGGGTGTCCCTGACGGGGCTCTGCACTGCTCAGCCCAGCTGCCCCCTGGAAGCCGTGCTTGCCGCAGTGTCGGGGGCAGGTGCTGAAGGTCCCACGTGTCTTCTCCCGCAGCAGGAACATCCTGAGTCCCATCTTATGCGCTCCTCTTGGAGTGGACGAGGCCAGAGTCCAGCAGGGAGTCAGCACAGTCAGCTCTGTCCTCTGTGGCCCCGAGGCAGGCAGCCGGGGAAGGGGAAGAGCAGGAGCGGAAAATAGCCCGGCTGCACAGGACAGCACTGGTGCGCAGCGGACAAGGGAGGATGCAGAACATAGGCCAGACCAGCCGGGTCAGGTCCCGTCTGTGCCGGGATTTATTTACCCACCTGCAAAATGACCTCTCCGTGCCTGCATGGAGATGGGTGCGTGGACTTGTGGTACAGCTGTGGTGTAGGCTCTTTTTTCTACCGGAGCTTCACTGCGTCCTCTCACTTCCGAGGACCAGAAAGGGTCCCCTAGAGCCAGCTGGGCTGTGGCCCCTGTCCCACTGAGTAAATCGGTGGGCTTGAGGGCCAGCTCAGAGCTTCTGAAGTCAGGAAGATGAAGGCTGGCTATCTAGGCCGCCCCAGAGTGTCAGCGCCGGGACACCTGTAACATGCCATGCTTTAGCTGTAAGGGCCCCTCTTCGTCCTGGCTCTGGCCTTGCGAGTGCCCACTTGAAAAAAAGGCTTTGCCAGGTTCTCCCAAAGATCTCCAGGAAGGCCTTGGCCTCTGTTCTGTGGACTGAGCCCTCCCCAGAACCTGTGAGACCAAGCCCCCAGGAACTGGGGGTCTGGGAGGCAAGCTCTGTCCCTCCTGCACTTTGGCTCTGTCTTCCCCCCCCCC